ATTTCTATAGGTTATATTATAGAGTATATTTTTTACAGTGGCTCATTGGCAGGAGAGTCCTTAATTCTTGCCTCCAGCTCTAGCTCTGTTTTGGATGCCTGGTTCCTTCGTGTCCTCTGCTATGAGGACCTTCTTTCACCTACTCTCCACCTTAGTGACCATTCCGCCAACCATTTCTTAAATCTGGCCACCACATAGAATAGATCCATCTTCAAAACATGGAATTTCCATTGCATATCCAATATACTTCCTAATCTGTAATTTCTCCAATCTCCTTCTACTATTGATCATTTAAACACTATTTCTTGAACCCAAACTTTCTTCTTGCCCTATTCTTGCCAGGACTACTTTTCTTTTCTTTCTTTCTTTCTTTCTTTTTTTTTTTTCTTTAATGTATTTAGTACAGGGTCTACCGAGTCTCACTACACAGATCAGACTTATAGTGGTTCTGTTTTCAGCCTCCCAAGTGCTAGGATTACTCCATGCACTAACACCCCCAGTCTCATTCCCCTCAGCCAGCACCAGGGGCAGGGCCTGCAAGGCACAGTGCACCTAAGCAGGCAATTTAGGCTACTAAGCTATCTGGCTGGCCCTCCTGCCAGGACTGATTTAGCTCAACTTTAAATACCCAGATGGTCTCTTTGCAATCCTTCAGAATTACTCTTTTCAAGTCTTAAACTTAAAAATGTGATCAGGTTCGCCTTTGCCTAAACCCATGAGCCCATTCTCAGCTTTACCCCGTTCGAATTTTGTTTTTAGACACAGAGTGCCTACAGCTGAATTCTTTACTTCCTGTCTCTCACGGCTTCTTGTCCTGGCAGTGACTTTCTCCTGGAGACCTACCCCAGCCACTTCCCTTGATGACACAACATCCCTGCAGGCACTTCCCATCCTTCTCTAGCCAGTTAGTCATGAGAAGGGCTTTGATTCAAGGGCAGAGGTTGAGGCCCAGCCTGCACTCCCTGTGCAGGTTGTCAGACTTCTCTCCTAGAAAACTGAAGGGAGTTATGGGAGGTACATATGAAAGGTTCTGATGTTAGAAGCAGAAGAAACCAAAGGACAGGAGAAACCAGCAGGGACACCATGGAGACACCCATGAGAGTAACAAAAGCAGCTGTTTTAGTCCACTGGAACTTTCTAGTTCCTAGGCAGTCTGAATGCACAGGTGACCCTGTTCCTGGGTCCTCTTGGAGGCCCTGGGATGGGCACCTCCCATTTGCCTGAGTGAGTCTTAATGGCCTCTTTCCTTGAACCTAAGAGTGCAGGAGAGGAAATTCCAGTTCACTGACATTTTACTGTAGCTAACACATGCTTTGGTGCCTTTCACATAAAAAAAAAAAAAAACAAAAAAAACAAAAACGTTTGCCAGGTACAATCTACCTCTTTTTTCCTATACAGCAGCTACTTACTTATTATTTAGAAAAACAAATACCTTTTGTGAGTTCCAGCTTGGCAGGCCAGTCCCTCGTCTGCACTGCTTCGACACTTTGCTCATTTGTTGTTAATGTAACACCTACCATTCTGTTTTGTAATTTGTTTATGTTTCTGCATCTCTTGCTGGGCTCTCAGCTTCTTGGGGACCGTATGGAGGCTTATGTTCCCATCTCCACAGTGCAGAGGTGTGAGGCAGATTGCTTTGTTCCGCACTCACAGCTGCCCTGGAGCTCACCCACCTCTGGGTACTTGCAGTCTGACTCCTTTTCTGTGTGTGTGCTGAGGGTGTTTCAGGCAGGTCTGAAGCACCCAGGGATTAACGTTCCAGGAGTGACCCTCCGTCAGTGTGAGGGGCAGTGGAGAAAGACCCCAGCCTCTTGACTGTCAGGGGTCCACCAAGAGCTACACAGGGCCTCCGAGGGTCCCCTGTGGATGTGAGCCCCACTGCCAGTGCAGTAATGGCTTTCTTCCCTGCCCTGTCTCCTTTCCTCACTCCCTGACCATGTTTTCGAGGATCACCTCTAAAGTAAACTCTTTGCACCCCCAGTATACATATCTCAGGGATTACTTCTGAGCCCAAACCAGGAAACAAAGCACTCACTACCAGACAGAGTGAGCGAGCTGCTGAGGCCAGGTCTCTTCCCGCTGGTACAGGATGTGAGGAGGATCCCTCTTCCTACCCTCTATTACTTTCTTCCCTTTAGAGAAGAGCCCATAGACTCCAAGCAAGCACATCTGCACCCACATTTTCCTTGGCCGCTGTCTGTGCAGAAGAGCTTGGAGGTCACCCTCCTCCTACCTACCACGTTGACTGGGGCCACTTGATGAGCATGACTCTCAGCTCTCAGAGTGGCTTGGAAATGTTGTTACTTGCTCCCCATCCATGTCCTTCTGCAGCGACTCTGCTACTCTTGGCCAGGATGTCCTTCTTGCTTCCCTGCTGCCCTCCCAGTGTCTGGCATACACAAATGCGTATGTTGCCAGATTTGTTAACAAGCATTCACAAATGTTAATGCTGGGTGGAAGGGTGACTGAGATTCTGGGTGAGGGAAAGCAAACCCCCAAAAGTCCCTTGGGCTGGATGAGATGGTGCACACCCTTGATCCTAGCACTAGGGAGGCTGAGGCAGGAGAATCCTTTCAAGTTTGAGACCAGCCTGGGCTACAAAGTGAGCTCAAGGCCAGGTTGAACTGCATAGTGAGACCCTGTCTCAAAAAGACAAAGAAAAAAAAAAAGTGCCCTGGTACAGTCAGTTAGAGGCTAGAGACAGACTCCAGAACTACAAGCACAGCGCTCAAGGCCGTGAAGAACTGGGACACGGCTGCTAATCTGTGAAGATGCTCTGGACTGGCCAGAAGAAGGAGCACCATGGTGACACTGCAGCACAAGGACACCATGTAGGCAAACTTTATGATTAATTTCATCCTCACAAATAAGGAAACCGAGGTGTAACGAGACTAGGCTAAGTAACTTGCTCAAGGTCACAAAGTCGATAAATGGCCTCACTGGGGTTTGAACTCTCTACAACCTGGCTTCAAAGTTCAGGAAGTTAACTACTACTGTATGATTCTGCACATAATGATATTTGAATACAAAATTATGGATAAATGATTGAAAAGTCAGGTGATAAAACCTGTCACCTGCCTCCCATGGCTAGTATGCTTTAATGAATAGCAAATCAATCACTGTCACAAATACTGCTCAAATAATTCAGATCTGCTGTGATTATATATCCATATTAGTGAATATGAAACTAAAATGACTGCAGGCCCTGCTCCCAGGGTGCACTGAGATTGCCATTGAGACTGGTGGGGGCCTGTAATCCCAGTGCTTGAGAGGCTGAAAACAGAGGATCACTATGAGTCCCATCCATGTAGTGAGAACCCGTAGACCCTGTACTAAATTAAAAAAAAAAAAAAAAGAAAGAAAGAAACTAAAATGGGAATTGTTGTGGTTGTGGTTGTTGTTGTCGTCGGAGGCTCTGTGGATATCAGTCACAGCTAAGATGAATCAGTGCGGTTCAGCAAGTACATGGTCAACTGCGGCACCCCAGAGCATGGCTAATTACAGCGGCTGCACCTGCGCTGGGCTTCTGCATCTGAAGAATGTATGGACAGAGTAGACAGTGCTTCAGAGCCTGTGTCTGCTAAGTTTTTCTTTTTCTACCATTGTGTAGATCAGAAAAACTTGATTGCAAACATATCTACATTATTCTTAAAATGTGGTGCCTTTTCTTTATGTATTTAGTACAGGATCTACAGGGTCTCACTACACAGATGGGACTCCTAGTGATCCTCCTGTTTTCAGCCTCTCAAGTGCTGGGATTACAGGTGCACATGCGCAGTCTCAGTTCAGGTCTCAGCTTGCCCTGGGGCCTGCATGGCAGGGTGTGATCGATATTCTTATTAAACAGGTATCAATCATCTTGAAAGAGCCCACATGAGTCGCCAACCCAACCCAAAAGGAAGAGACCCTGTCTCATATTATGCCCGCTTGCTATGTGACTCGTTTCCTTATTTGGTATTGGATTTAATCAATTTTACCTGAGCAATGGTCTTGTGATCTCATTGGTTGACCATAGTTTTGTCCTAACTCATGCCCACCTAAGCGAGTTCTCATGGTTTCCACCTTAGACCCACCTCACTGCATGGTTTTACTTTATAAAAGTCCTCAGAGGAGACAGCTTCCCTCAGGACAACCAGCTCAGGATCCCCCTTCTGTCCCTCTCTAGGAAAGGAGCTTTCTTTCCCCAATAAATATATTCTACTCTTAACCTCCGTTTGTTCCTAAAATTTATTCTTTGGTTTTAGAGAACATGAACTCGTCCCTTTCAGGTTGGGAGCTGCATTTTCCCCCTGTATCTCCTTCACACACTGGCTTAGGCTCTGAGATTCAGAGGCGACCCATTCTGGAAGGGTGCCCTGAAGGACACAACCCTTATCAGGTCTTCTTAGGGTCCCTTACTATATAGTACATGCTCAAGAAACGTTCAGTTGCTCTGTGTGAACTTGCATGGTTTTTTCCTTGGGGGAGGGGTAGCCTTAGCTGGTCTCACTTTTCTGCAGAGGGCAACTGGGAATCAAAGTGAGCAACCTGGGTTAGTTCACAACTCCTGGGGCTCCTCTCCTTCACCTCATTTTAGAAGTGCTAACAAAGTGACAAAGTGGAGAAGCCTGGGTCTTGCAGAGGCAGCTCCGCAGGGGTGGTGCCTGCCCGTGCATCGCTTTGGGAGGGGTAAAAACGAGAAAGCTTTTTGTAAGCATTTATCCAAGAGGTGGTCCTCCCTAACAACTCTAGGAAAGCTACACTTTGAAACTCCTTCTATCCGAGGTTGGTCCAGGTGGCCAGGACGCTACCAAAGCTAAGTACTGGGGAACCGGTCCCGCCCCTCGCCGCGCCCCCAGGCAGAGGAGGGGTGTGCAGCCTGGGGAGAGGCTCGACCACCCCTGGAGAGGGCAGGGGATGGGAATGCACCGCTGCTTGCAGGCACCTCCGCTGTCTCGCTTCCGCGACCACCCCTTGGCTCCCGAGTACGGATCGGGCGCCCTGGCCCTGGGGACACTCACCCTGATATTCAAGGACCCTCTCTGGGGTCAGCGTCTTCGCCACAAGGTCTGCGCAGCCCCGCTGGGGCCCCAGCAGCAGCAACAGCGAAAGCGGCAACAGGAGCATCGCTAGCCACTGGGCTCACAGGGCATGGGGCGTTGTCCTCGGGACCAGAACTCCCCGGAAACCCCGGGGCCTGCTCCTGGGGAGGGGGGACTGCAGCCCTCGCCTGGCCGGGGACTCACGCCCCACTCTTGGTCACCACAGCACGCACTCACACTCTTGGGACTCTGGGCTGGGAGACAGACGGAGTCGCAGTGTTTCCCCGCCCTACGCACCCGGCCTGGAGGTAGAAGGAGGAGGTAGAAGGGAGTGCACCATCTGCACTTCCCAGAAATTCCTGCCTTTAGGGTGGGGACAGGGGAGGGGTGGGACTGAAGGGTGCATTCTTCTGTGCGTGAATCTCAGTCCTTCCTGCTGTCTCTGGAGGGAGGCCACCGAGGACCTAGGGGTGAACTAACTAGAAACCTCTGGGACAGGAAGTCTGACATCTGGGTTTGCAAATCCCTGGGTTCTGGTAAACACTGCGGGTCTGGCAGCAGACAGTCGAGAGTCAAAGAAGCTGCTCTGGGAGCCCAAGTGCTTTGGGAGGCTCTGGACTCGCCCTGGCCTGCATCCTCCTGCACCAGAGTAACCCAGACATTCTTCCAGTTGAACCCCTTTCTGTTTTAAAATAGTCTTCTACTCCCATCTTCTTTGATTTCCCATATCCAGCAAAATACCCACCTCATAGCTGAGAAGCCCTGCTCAGAAGTGAGAAGTGATGCAATCCAGGTTATGCCTTAACCCCACAAAAGTTACTCCCCAAACAACTAATAAGTAGGCAAACCCTGACAAGACTGTAGTTCCAATAACCAGCAGAATACTGGAAGTATTTAATACTTGCAGGAACAAGCTTTAATCCTTTCCTGAACAGGACCTTGACATCAGCCTTTAAAACATAAGAGGAAAGAAAAAACAAAGGGAAAATTAAGAAAGAAAAAGAAGGAAAGAAAGAAAGAAAGGAAAGAAGGAAGGAAGGATGGGACCTTGGGTGACAGAGCTACTTATCTGTCAGTATAAATCATTGTTTTCAAGTAGTGCAGTTCTAGCCCCATAAACCCAGCCTCAGAGGAAATTCCAGCAGGAAGCAGGGTGGAAATGGGAGGGAGGGAAGTGGGGAGGGAAAACAGCCTGCTGCAGCCCTGCAGGAACCTCAGAGGCCCTGGATATGTCTGTCCCAGGACAAAATAGAAAGCATTTGCCCACAGACTCATGATCCCTGTGGGTTAAGATGTGGGCTTGTAACCTCCTGGGCACACTTCTGTGCCAGCCATGAGCTTGAGGAAGGAAGCTGGTGAATGGCTTATGAAAGTGTAACGCTCAGTCAAGTTGCCCTGGGGTGTTTGAAGGAAGAAGTTGTGAGAAAAAAAACAAAGATTAGAGGGGAAAGTGCTTGTATGAGAGACAGCCTGAGGAGGCATGACTGGCTGGAAGGAAGGACAGTCCCTGGGCCACTATGAGAAATGAGGTGAGGCACTGGGACCTTGGGCTACCTCCCAAGGTGAAGCCCTGCTCTTGCTAAGGAGTTCAGCTTTATCTTCTCTATAATAAGAGGGGTTTGGGAAAAAATAAACAAACAAACAAGCAAGGTTTCCTGAACCATTGGCAGATAATATTCTGAAGTAGCTGGGCTCTGACTATGAGAGGGATGAGGAGAGGGGAAATGATGGGTCTGGCCCATGTGGAAACCAGCTGAATCACCGCAAGGTGGCCATGAGTCCAGATCAACTACCTTTTCTTCGCAGCATTCCCTCCGTCCCTTTTACAGCATGCCAAGATGATGTCCAATGAGCTATCACAACGTCATCTTCTCACTTCCCAAGATGATCTCCAATAAGCCGTTGCAACGTCATCACCTCACCTCCCAACTCACTCCCCCTTTAGAAAACTATAAATATAGCTGCCTTCCACTGTCTGCCTCTGAGGATTTTCTCAGTCTCTTCCTGTGGTCTTCTTGTGTCCACAATAAAGCCTCTTTTACCTTTCCTGTGGCTTTGCTGTGCCTCTGCCACTGCCACCACCATCACTGCTGGGTAGACCCAGCACCAGCCAATCTATTTTTTTAAAAACCATACAACTTTTTTATTGTTAAGCCATAAAGAGGTATCAAAATTAAAAAGCAAAAATTACGGGAGAAGATGTAACAAAACTACTAGGAGCATCAAAGGAAGTAAAAATGGTACTAGGCGCAGGGCAATTATGAACATGGTAGGACACAGAGAGAACAGTGAGCATGTGCTGAAGATACTAGGGGAGGGGATCGGATGAGATTTTGATCTTAGACAAGCACCTAGATAAAGAAATAATGGGACAAGACTTCTAAACCAAACTATGTGCTAAAGAGTCATCCTTGCCATTGGCGCTATCTCTGTCATCCTCTCCTTCCTCAGCCACTTTTTCATCATCCTTGATCAATTCCAGCTGGTTCTCCACCCAATTTTCATTTTCATTATCATCTAGTAGATCCCTCTGTTCAGCAGAGTCATCAGCAGCACCCTCAGACTCCACCTTCACATTAGTTTCATCTTTCTTCTGGGAGGTGCTGGTCTGCTCCTCTTTGGTTTTATCATTCTTCATCTCCACTGCTTATTTGCGCTGTTCCTTTTCAGTTTTCTCCAGGCTTTCCAGTAAAGAATCCACATATTGTTTTACCTGGGTCAGCTCCTTCTTAATGGCCTGAAGGTCATCACCTTTCAACTTTCCAGACTTGGATGAAGATCCCCACCGGCCACTCTTAGAATTGAAGCCACTTATGCCTCTTTGGGAGGTGTTTCTTGATACATGCTGGCATTTTGAGGGCACTACAGCCAAAGCAATAGGAGGAGGAGGAACATACCTGTACATCCTGTCATAATTATCACATTGAAAGTCATAGTCCAAGTCAGAAGAGGAGCCATACATCTCCCCTGCAGATCGTTTCACACCTGCTTTTCCTCTGTTCACTTTTGGCCCTGTAGCCAGATTAATCTCTAAAACCTGGCCAGCAATCATTCTGCCATCCTCTCCAGCTACAGCAGCTCGGACGTTTCTCTCATTAACATACTGGACAAAGGCAAAGCCCTTATGAAGGGAGCAGCCCACAATTTTGCCATACTTCAAGAAGATGTATGACCATTTTTTTTTTTTTTTTTTTACAGCCAGACAGCTTGGCCACAGTATAAACTAGACAAAGGCAGCCAGTGGCCTGAGGGGGAGACCTTTGATTCCAAACTCCTTGCTGATTTGGACAGATACTGTCACCACAATGGCAAATGGCAAGAGATCTCTTATATTCAGGTTTTTAGTGCACTTTGAGTCATGTCCCTCCTTTACTGAGACATGTGGAGCAAAACAAGTACTCTTGGTTTGCTCTACAGTGCCAGGCCCTTCCCCCAATGCTCCTTTCCCAGTCTCAGGGATTCCTCAGCTTTCCTTTATGTTCCCCAATATCTCATTGCCCCTAAACACCAATGGGGAATAAAACCTATAATTAGCTGTCTCCTTGCCAGTGGTTTTCTTAGAACTACCCACTTGTCATGTAATACCCCCACTCTGTACTCAAACCCAATGGCTCCTGTCATTTGGTCCAACATCTCAGGGTCATCAAGAAGGCAGTTACTCATACTCACTCAGTGGTGCCAAACCCCTATACCATGCTCTCCCATATTCCTCCTTCCACTACTCACTTTGCTGTTCTAGACATCAAAGATGCCTCCTTCACCATTCTTTTACACCAGATTGTCAGGACCTCTTTGCTTTCACATGGACTGATCCAGGTCCTCTTAGATCTCAACAGCTTACATGGACAGTCTTGCCTCAAGGGTTCAGAGATAGTCCCCCTTTCTTTAGCCAAGCTCTTTCTGCTGACCTTGAGACTACTCGTTTAGTATATTGATGACCTCCTCCCCTGCTCCCCCTCTCATGCCTTAGCTGTGCAGCACACAGCTGCTCTCCTCAATTTCCTGTCACAACAAGGTTATAGGATCTCTCCAGAAAAGCCCAGACAGCTTCACCCAAAGTCAAATGTATAGGACTTGCCCCCACCCTCACTATTTGCACGATCACTGCTGATCGCAAAGTCTTTATTTGTGACCTTCAGGTGCCCACCACAAAAAGCAAGTTCAAAATTAATAATAAAAAAGCAAGTTCTATTCTTCCTTGGCTTAGCTAACTTCTTTCACCTCTAGGTTCCCAATTTTGCTTCCCTAGCACAGTCCCTCTACAAGGCATCAAAATGTTCCTTGTTAGAACCCCTAGACCCTACTGCTCCTGTACATTTCTCCTTTCACAAACTACAGCAGGCTCTTCTAAAAACCCCAGCCCTCACTCGACCTAACCCAACCCAACCTTTTACCCTATACACTTCTTCTCAGTGCCAAAATGCAGTGGGTGTTCTAGGACACAAAAAGGGATCATCCTTTCAGGCAGTAGCATATTTTTCTAAACAACTAGACAGTACAGTTTGTGGATGGGCTCCATGTCTTTGAGCTCTCATAGAAGCAGCTATACTAACATAGGAGGCACAAAAGTTTACTTTAGGACAGTCTATCACAGTCCACTCATTCCATCACCTCAGTGAGCTTACACATAAGACACTTCTGGCCTTAATGACCCCTTCCCCTATACAACAGATCTGCCTTATGTTCATAGAGGACCCTTCCATTACTATTTCTACCAGTAGCCCTCTCAGTCACACTACCTTACTCCCCACCTCTGATGAAGGTCCCTGACATAGTTGTGTTGAGGTCCTACAGATGACCCCGTCTCCCTTCCCCCACATAGACAGCACCCCCCTTCCCACAGTTTCTGATATATAGTTTATAGATGGCAGCTCAACAGACATAGGCACCCAGGAGAGGGCAGGACATGCCATAGTGAATGGGTCAACTATAGTAGAGGCAGGCCCATTACTACTGGGACATCCTCACAAAAGACAGAGCTTATAGCTCTTACATGTGCCCTCACACTAGCCAAAGACAGAGCTATAAATATCTACACAGACTCTAAGTACACATTTAGTA